TCATTTACAGCAGCCAGAGAAAAAAAATCACTTTCTGCTTTTGTGTTGTCTAATTTTTTACTCATGTACTTTTTTCTATTACTGAAATTATTTTTTACTCAGTTTTTTTACTTATTGTGACTGAACGCAAAATAATGGGGTTTTTTGGATGAGGAGTGGAAGGAGAGGGGAGGGGGAGAGGGAAGGAAAAAAAATTTAATTGTGTCTCCAATTGCATTCGATGAGTTCAGAAATTTTTTTTTCATTTGATTTGGTTTTGATTTTGTTGTTGTTATTTTTTGCTTTTTTTTTCTTCAATACTTTGGTTAATGACTTTAAATCATCACTTTTCAGTGATCAAACTTTCTCTTATCTTTTTCTCTTTCTACCCCATTTATTTTTTCTTTCACTTTCTTCAAATATCGCCTCGGCTTTTTTGCCCGGCAAAAATTTGTAAGAAGGTTAGCAAAGACTTATTCTTTTTTTCTTAACTTTTACTATTACTTATATTAGGAATGAAATGACAGGGTTATTTTTCGCAGCTATAAATATTGTTGTTGCTTCGTTCGTTTCTTCCGTTATAATTTTTTTGTTGATAATTATCTTGAATTATTGAAAAAATTTTTTCTTATTGGATCATTGAGACTGGAAAAATGAAGCAGAGGAAGGAAGAAAAAATGTTCAAAACAGCGAGGAACAGTGGTTGTCCTATTCGGTATTTCTTTGTGGATAGTTTTTTTGTCAGAAATTTTCGCAAAATTTTTTGACTTTGAATTATATCCAGTTAACGAAGAAGGGGAAGAAGGGCAGTTAGGGGGAAACTCCAGAAGCTGTGGAGAATTTGGATGTTTTATACCGGTTTTATTATTTATTCGGGGATGGAAATAGTGTTTTTAATTCAGTTTTCATTTATAACATGAGTCCTTATCTGAAAGAACGTAATTTTTCTGGTGTTCTGTTTGTTTGTTGAAAATACTTTTTTTTGCTTCATTGGTGTGTGTGCTTTATTGGAATTTTTTTATGTTGCTGTTGACAGTTTTTAAGGTGGCAAATGGAACTGGAGGGAAGTAGGGGGAGGGAACGAAGGGGGAGGGGGGGAAGGACAGAAGGACTTCGCAAAGCAACAGAAGGAAACAATAGAAGAGAAAAGAGTAATGTAGAGAAGGAGGATTGATTTTGTAGTACTTGAAAGTTTCTCAGGAAAAATTGCTCCCAAAATGATCAGATGTCTTTATTAATTTCTTTTGAATTATGTTCGTTTTTATCCGATGAAACAGTTATTTATTGCTGCAGTTGTCATCAATAACGACGGCGACGGCGTTGTCGGAAGGATAGTACTATTTTTTTGCGAATTTTTTGGTCTGATTACCAATCGTTGTGGGTTTGAAGCTTCAGTAATTCTATAGTTCATTTACCGTTATTTGATGATGCGTAACGTATATTGATCAATGATCTTAACGGAGAGGTGGCAACAATTTCCTGCTTTTTTTCTAACGTTTTACGAGTGTCAAAATTATTTCACTGACTGGAACAATTTTTTTGTAGGTTTCTCTTTGTAAACGCTTTTTTCGTACGTTTGCTGCTGTCTTTGTCCGCTTGTTAATTGCTGGTCAAAAGCAACTGCAGTTGAATTATAGAAAATTTTCTGACCGGATATTCGTATACGAAAATTTGGGTAAAAAGGAGAGAGGAAGTGGGGTTGGGGGACTGTGTAAATTAGTTGTTGAATAAATGTGGTGGTTAATTTGTTGTGTTCCAAGGTGTTGTATGATTCGGATTGAAGGAAGGAAAATATAGCTTTGGAAACCAATTTTAATGACGATATTTTAATGTTGTCAGCTTTGTTTTTGCTCTCAAACTGTTACTACCTCAAATAAACTTGTAATTACTTGATGATCATTGATGATTGAAACTTTGAACATTGTACAACTAATCACGCATTTGTTTGTAATTTTTTTTTTTTTGTTTAGTGTAACTTTTTCGATGCCATTGATAATAGCAATTTTTGGGGAAGTCTAAGAGGGAAAAAGAAGTTGTACATTCACTTTGGTTCGTCTGTGGACTAATTTTTATTTACAGAAGGTGAAAATAGTATAAAATGAATTGTCAGTTGAATTGTTCAGTGCTGTAATACACAGTGGTTAAAAAATTGATTGTTTTTGTGAAACTCAACCAGGGTTTTACCACTGATTGTCGTCGGCGACAACGGATGACAGTTGTGGTCTAAGTATTGTTAGCGATGATGATATTCCTTGTTGCTAGGTGATGATCATGATGATAATTGTATGATCATGTTAGTGATCAAAGTTATTTGATGGTTTGTAAAAAGAAGTGCTAATATTTAAGTTAGAGTATAAAGGATAAGAAAATACTTGCAGAAATTGTTGATTTTATGCTAACTTTTTTTTTTTTTTTTTTGTTGGGGGGAGGGTCTAAAGCAGTTATTTTTGCACAGACACCTCTTCATTTTTGTAACAGTTTCTTCCGCTATGAATTCATCAACAATTAATTGTATTTCTTTTGAAACATTTTCAAGAATTATTATTATTTTTTTTACGTTGTTATTAAAAGTCTTAAATCATCAGTGACGTGATGACATATTTTCATATTATACGTTAAAGTACTATTGTTATCATTGTTATTACTGTTGCTTCAGTTATTTTCACAGTTTTTCGTTTGTTTTATGTACTCAGTAGTTGCCAACTAGTCTTTCGCGGAAGAGAAGAGTGACGGAAGGGGAATGACTTTTGTGCTCAGTTCATTTCACTTCATTTTTGAACATCATTTTTTTTTTTTTTTTTTTTTTTTTGTATGACAACACAGAAACTTACAGATGCTCATGCATACAGAAGTATACAAAAATAGACTAAAATAATGTTCAGGTATGCATTTTTATTAGTTGTTCGTTTATCTATGTGTTATGATGGAAATGAGGTAAAGCATTTAAATTACATTAGCTAACGATCATTATTTATGATATCTGTATCAAATTGCGGGAAAAAAAAATAAAAAGGAAAAACAGTTTTTCTTTTTAATGTTTTCTTTGTTTTTTTTTCTTTTTGTGTATTTTCATCATGTGGTTAAATGGTGTTGGTAACGGTGATGATAGTGTTCGGTGTTGCTACTCTGCATTAGTTTTCGATGGTTCGTTTAGACTTTAGATAGTCATCAGATGCTGCTGGTTTTGCTGATGAATAAGTAAGGAAACACAGTAATACTAGCAACTCTGTTTTCTTCATTCATCTATTAAGATAGTTAGTCATTAAAAAGTATATAGTTATTATAATGTCATCTAATTTTTTTTTTTTTTGTATATTTTTGATCTTGATTTGTTGTTGTTGTTGATGTTGTTGTTGTTAGTGCACTTATGTTATTATTGTTGCACTTTTTTTCACCATTATTCCGGTAAAAATGTTGTTTTTAAAAATCCAGTCATTTTAGAACACAGGTTTTGTGTTTTAGTTGCTGTTGTGGTTCTTATTACGGTTTGGTTTTTGACGTTACTGGCTTGTCATGATGCAAGTAGTGATGATAAAAATAATGATGATAACGCTGTTATTATTGAATTTTATCCTAAAAGTATCGTAAGTTATCAAATGGAAGTATTTGAACTATCTTAAGTAAACAAATAACTAAAACTGATTAAATGTCTGAATGGGACTGATTAATGGAACAAAAATTTTGTTAATTTGGCTAATATTTTTATTTATGCTTTCAGTGAACATCATACTGCTGGTCGTTAAAAGAAGGATTCATATAAGGCATTTGGCTGTTGTTGGGTTATAAAGCCTGTTATTTAGCTTATGTAATGCTTAAAATTTAGTTGTCGTTGTCGTTTCATTGTTGCACTAATATACATGTAATTATTTGGTTTTATTATCCAAATATAGGGAAGGGGAAACTAAAGGAAAAAAAAAAAGCGGAATGATTTGTGATGCTGTTGCAGAAGTGTATAATGAACAGGAAATGATTTTAGGTTGACAAGAAGCAAACAAGGATCGACAAGCCTGTTTGCTATATCCTCTTCTAGTCTGCTGTTTTTTCTTTTTTGCATCATATTTTTCTTGTTGAGAATAATATTATAATATTAATTCGTTCGTAAATATACAGGTGGAACATTTTTTTGTACCCAAAAAAACCCATTATTTAAATACAATTTTTTTTTCCTTGGAACTCTATTTGGATTTGCGATTGACGAAAATGAATGACAAGCCAAAGAAAGAACAGAAATTGTTGTGAAGAGAAAAAATAAAATAATTACCTCAGAATGTTTTGACACACGAAGTTTTCGGGAAAAAATAGAAGCGAATTAGACGGCAAACTGGAAAAGAAGGTTTTGCGGGTTGAGGAAGAGAGAAAAGGAAACATTTTGGTTTTTCCACCGAGGTAGTATTATCTGAACATACATATGTATAAACTTAGTTGTTTCTGAGCACTTGTTTTTGTTGCTTATTTGAATAGAACAAAAATTTTTTATGATATATATTCAATGTAAATTTCTTTGTTTTCTCCTTGTTCAATGCCATTATATTTTTTATTTTACTTGTTCATTGAATTCAATTTATAGAACCAACATCGACAACTGAACCGCCGGGCTTTTTTGGTAGTTTTTTTTCTTGTCGTTGTTGATGTTATCAGCCATTGTTAAAAATAGTTAAAAATCGTTGCTCTTTTTTTTCATTTTTGATCGGTTACCCGCAGACAATATGTCCAAATATGTATATATCTATTTGTTGTATCTATATTTGTAGGCGCATATATATAAGTCTGTCGTAATAGCGATTGTTTATGTGTTACGCGCATCTGTGAAGAACGAAAAAAAAAAAAA